TCCCTTAAGGTTATTTTTTTATTTAAATTGGATATTCTATCCAACATGGATATAGCTTCTTTTTTTCACAGCAGCATTGGATCAGTTCAGTTGTGCAGCATTGGATCAAAACAATATAAAGCTTATCAGTACTTGTTAGCTTACTGCTACAATTAGACACTGCGTCCTGCCCACTCTGTTGCCAGATTTGAGAGAAATAAGCAACCAGGTCTATGAAAACAAGCCCCAAAGAAGCAACACATACATGATGTTGTGTAATTTGAAACCAAAACTAAGGCCTCAGGATGACTTTAAGACTTGAACATGGTAATTTTTGTTTTGTAATACTGAATAATTTCTTTTTTTAAAAGTATTTATAAAAAAAAAAAAAAAAAAAAATCCCGATCCCCGATTTTTTTCTCCCGATTCCGATCTTTTGAAAATCACGTGATCAGCTCCGATCCCCGATCACGTGATCGGATCGGGACATCTCTACTTCAAATGTTAAATGGTTTGGTAATGTAGTCAGATAGCCCCTCTCATTCAGTATCACACNCAACAGACTTTTTGTGGATGTGCTTTGAAACTGCACTCTGTGAACAGCTTGCTCTTTGAGAAATTTCTTTTTGTGTCTTACCCTCCTGATGGAGGGTGTCAATGACGGTCCTCTGGACAGCAGTCAGATCAGCAGTCTTCCCCATACTTGTGATTTAGTTTACTGAACCAAGCTGAGTGTTTTTCAAGGCTCAGGAAACCCTTGCAGGTGTTTCGAGTTAATTAGACGATTCAAGTGATTCGTTGAACACCCTACTAGTATACTTTTTCATGATATTCTAATATTTAGAGATAGGATATTTGAGTTTTCTTAAGCTGTATGCCATAATCAGCAATATTAAAATAATAAAAGGCTTGCAATATTTCAGTTGATTTGTAATGAATCCAGAATGTATGACATTTTCGTTTTTTTTAATTGCATTACAGAAAATAAAGAACTTTATGACAATATTCTAATTTTCTGAGACAGTCCTGTATATGTACAGATAATGTATTGTAGATTTGGCACTGGCTTAACGTGACGATAAATTAATGTTTGTATTCATTGTTTGCTTTGTGAGACCAAAATCTCTACCCAGATACTCAGAATAGTTTTACACACACCACTGATTGTTAATCTGCATGATTATCAGGTAATTTTGATAAATAACTATAATTAATCAACATCAAAAACACACAAGGGCTGCTTACAGGTCCTTCAAATGTGTAATTAATTGCTTTATAATTGTCTTGCTATAGGCTACTAAGAAGTATTAGGTGAGAAATGGTCTGATGAGGAGTGGTGTGCAGACATGAGGAGGATTCTGCCTAATTACATTCTGTCTAATGGCAAATTGGAAGTGTTTTATTGAAAATCTCTTACATCTTTAAGAGACTTGTTAAAATAATTATAAAAAATGTAATGGGCATAACCTATAATTACTAAGACAAATTGAAAGCCACTTAGCTATGCAGACGTTCTGCATACAACCTAACTCAACGTGTGGAAGATATTTGAAAAAGCACAGATCAAATACTATTATGTATTTTAGGTATGTGTGTGTGTGTGTGTGTGTGTGTGTGTGTGTGTGTGTGTGTGTGTGTGTGTGTGTGTGTGTGTGTGTGTGTGTGTGTGTGTGTGTGTGTGTGTGTGTGTAGTAGTAGTTAGTAGTAGTAGTAGTAGTAGTAGTAGTAGTAGTAGTAGTAGTAGTAGTAGTAGTAGTAGTAGTAGTAGTAGTAGTAGTAGTAGTAGTAGTAGTAGTAGTAGTAGTAGTAGTAGTTAGTAGTA